CGTAGGTACAGCTCTTCCTAGCTTTGCCTTTGCCTGGTGTTTCTGGTGGCGTTGGTTCAAGAGATGACCCTTCTGAACTGCCATGGCTGGACCCCAACGGTGACCACACCGAGTACTGTTGCGAACCAACAGAACCCAAAAACTGAAAAAGAAGAAAACTCATATTAATTAACCACAAAATATTATCAACAATTTGTAGACATGTGCTGCATCCAAGCTTGAATTCCCCTCTATCGCTTGTGTATATATATAAGTATTAATTTTTAATTATGGGTTCACCTCTTGGTTTTTCTGAGAGCTAGTAGTATTGATTTTCTCGTGATCATCTTGAAGCATGTAGTGAGTCATCTGGCGTGTCAACTCGGCAATGTAATCGTCGTCCTCATCAGTAGTAGTCTCTGTCGACTGATCAGATGAAACAAGTTCAGAATCCTCAAGTGCTGAAGATGAAGAAGGAGAACTCAAATCTGATGGCCTAATAAACCCTTTGTAATTATAGTTAGCAGCTGCTTCACAAATATCCCAGACCTTGGCATCTGGTTTGGAGCACACAAAATCCATCATGTTAATTATGTACTAATCAACTTTTGTTTTAACTAACTAGCAGTAATGCTAATTAACTTGAACAAAAGATGATGGAGGAGAAGAACTGATCAGGTGGGTTTTATTGGAGAAGAAAGAACAAAGATCAAGGTAATTATATGATCAAAGAGCAGCTCGAGAAAGATAGAGTAGGGGTCAAATTGTTTGCAAGGTGTTTTTAAAGGGAATTTGGGTGGGACCCAGAAGCTAAGTAAGTGGGTCCAGTGTCATACAGTAGCTGGATGACTTGTTTGGTGTGTTGGTGTTGAAATTTAGAAGGGTTAGGGCTCGGTAGTTGGACCGTTTGCCCAGCTGTGCTATGTATGCTCCTTCGATTCGTTAGATATATTTTGCGGTGCCCTATATCTATATCCACCGAACCCACCGTAAACCTAATCTCAATGTACAGTTTATTAAGCTTATCGGAGAAAAAAAAACAATTGATTTTTTAAGCAGAGTAGTGTGCTTCACTCTCTCCAGATAGATAGGCATCATAAATACTAATTAATCAAGAATGCATAAGGGCTTTTAAATAGTTGAGTTTAAGAGATAGGGTGCATTTTTCGAAATTTTCTCGATGTAGTTTATTAGATAAATAAGAAAGAATACTGCTGAAAATCACATAATGGTTCTTGTTACGAAATTTTCACACCTATACTTATTGCACATAACTTTGCAAATAATTTGGCACAATTTTTCTGATACTTCTTTTTAATACGTATTTGTTTACTTATTAAGTTTTTATAAATTTAATAATGATAATGTATTGTTGTTGTTTATACCATACTTAGGGCATCCGTATTTAGACCTCGTATAAATACTCGGAGGACTCAAATGTAATTATGTAATAAGTGAAGGGCAATTATGTAATAAGTGATGAACCCTTATTCTATAAAAGGACTCCTCACCCTCACATTTGAGAGAGGCCAATTCTTAGGCCTTGAGGATCCTCACACTCTCTCCCTCATAATCCTCTTAGAAATACAATATCAGTGTGGACATAGCCCAAACTTTGGGGTGAACCACGATACATCTTGTGTTATTTACATTTATTGCAGATTCACGGTCGGATTTACGTTGTTCCAAGACCTCCGATTTTGTGCATCAACAGTTGTCAATGTTCTTATTCAGTAAACTGTTTCTTGACAATTCTTTCTTCAAGTGATGATAACTGGGAAACAAATTCTTATTCTATTTCTTTTATTAACGTTGTTAGAAATGGTTAGGGTTGGTCTTTCATTACTACCAATATATATGGTTGGGGGTTGATGTTGCTTCAGTGTTGACTATTCATATTATTTAACGAGCGCAACATTCTTTTCATTTGTTTTTCCTCTGTTTTATCCTGACTTCTGTTCTGTTGCTTGCCATACACACGACAAGTACGGTTCAACAATTGCATGTAATAGGTAAGGTATAGCGACTTTTGGGGCAGCTCGACCTTTTGATTTATGAATTGCCCACTTCTGCTGCACTACATGAATCAGTACTTTCTAGTCTTCATAATTGGCGATTATTCGACAATCCATTAGGTCACGGTTCCCACTACTTTAACTTTGGATGTAATATCATATCAAGTAAAGAGTCCATTTCATTGGAGCAGATATATATATATATATATAAGAGAAAATTAGATCCCCATATCAAAACGCCCCTATGTAAGATTAAGTAGATCTAGCTACCAAGTTGCCTTGCCCAACCCAATAACTTTCATAGTTGGGCTCTCTCATGTCAAAGCCTAAAGTTTTTAATGCCATTGGTGTCACCATTAAACCATTGGAGTTTCTACAGCGAAAGGTATTAGTAAGGGGTTTGTGTGCATGATTGTGCATGACATACTAATAGTGTAGTGTATGAACAATGTATAGCCATTATGTTGATAATATATAGATATTATGTAATCATTATATTATGGGGATACATTGTCAATACGGATCATGCACAACTAAGAGAATTTCTCTAGGTGAGAGGTGTGTAAGGGCCGTTTAATCAAATCGGACGCAAAAATATAAATCATTCATTTACCATATATTACTAAAAATGCGGAGAACTCAAGAACCCAAATATTCTAATTTCTATTCCTTTTAAGTAAACATGCCCTAATACTATGCTTATTGTGAATGCCAATTTTGAGTTGGTAATAACATTTAGCCTATGTTCGGGTGAAAATTTTTCAAGTTTCAAGAGATTGAGCACAAGTTAAAAACAAAATGTTATATGAAGGCGGTTAGAAAAGCCTTTTGTGTCAGCTACGTTATGGCAAATGCAATCTGCCCTGTTACCATTGTCAAGGATCATAGTGCTTGATTAAGAATGTGTACCTCTAAAACGAGCTTGATGAGGGAGATAAATGGATGTTGTACTGCTTGTTGCTAAATGTTAATGATCTTGAATTATGTGCCTCCCAATTTGCATGTATCCAATAATTTAATCTTTGTTTGTATGAAACTACTCTTGTTGTATCAGTTTGAATAATGAACTTGAATTATGTGCCTCCCAATTTGCATTTTCTTTTAGTTGAATTGATAAAAAATCTTCTTGATATCTGTACAAGTTCAAAATTCTAAAATTCTAAAATTCTAAAAACCTAATATTCCTTTTTCTCCCAACTTTTTTTTCCTCCAACTATGTGGCACTCAATATTGCACACTACCTTAGGATTGAAAACCAAAAAATCATATCGTTAAACCTCGTGTGATGGCGTCATTTTACTTAGAGAAACAAGTAGGAGAATTATACTACATGACCTCGCTTAATGAGCGATAAATCTTCTGGTGTCAAACCTAAACCTTGCATAAATATATATAGGGTAAAAGACTGTTTACTACCCTCATGTTTCGTGGTTTTCAACATTTAGTACATCATGTTTTTTTCGTCTCAGAGTCATACCTAAAGTGTAAATTTTGGGACAGTCTCATACATCCGTTAGTCAAACTGTTAAGTTTTTCGTTAACTGTGACGTGGCGCACTGACTGGGCGCCACGTGTCATCCACGTTTTTTTTTCTTTTTTTTTTCTTTTCTTTTCTTCTTCTTCCTTCTTCTTCTTCTTCTTCCTCCGACTGCAACTTTCTGTTTTTTTTTTTTTTTTTTGCTTCTTCCTTTCCCTTTCTTCCCCTTCTTCCTTCTTCTTCCTTCTTCTTCCTCCGAAATCTGGGGAATGTTTTTTTTTTTTCTTTCTTCTTCTTCCTCCTTCTTCCTTCCCCTTCTTCCTTCTTCTTCCTTCTCCTTCTTCTTCTTCTTCTTCTTCCTCCGAAATCTGGGGAAGTTTGTTTTTTTTTTTTTTTCTTTCTTTCTTCTTCTTCCTCCTTCTTCTTCTTCTTCTTCCTCAAAAAAAAAAAAAAAAACACTTTTATCTTTTCTTCCTCTTCTTCTTCTTCTTCTTTCTCTTTCCTCCTTTCTTCTTCTTCTTCTTCTTCCTCCGAATCTGCCCACATTCAATTTTTTTTTTCCTTCCTCCTTCTTCTCCTTCTTCCTTCCCCTTCTTCGTTCTTCTTCTTCTTCCTCCGAATTTGGGGGAAGATGAAAGTGTTTTTTTTTTTTTTTTTTTTTTGAGGAAGAAGAAGAAGAAGAAGAAGAAAGAAAAAAAAAAAAATATTCCCCAGATTTCGGAGGAAGAAGAAGGAAGGAAGAAGAAGAAAGAAAAAAAAAAATATTCCCCAGATTTCGGAGGAAGAAGAAGGAAGGAGGAAGGAAGGAGGAAGCAAAAAAAAAAAAAAAAAAAGCAGAAAGTTGCAGTCGGAGGAAGAGGAAGAAGAAGGAAGAAGAAGAAAAGAAAAGAAAAAAAAAAAAAAAAAAAAAACGTGGATGACACGTGGCGCCCAATTAGTGCGCCACGTCACAGTTAACGAAAAACTTAACAGTTTGACTACCGGATGTATGAGACTGTCCCAAAATTTACACTTTAAGTATGACTCTGAAACGAAAAAAACTTGATGTACTAAATGTTGAAAACCACGAAACATTAGGGTAGTAAACACTCTTTTACCCATATATATATGTTCGACCTTATAGTCGACCTAAGCATTCGGGGTACTTTCACAGGCCAAAGGGTTATACTAGGTGTTAACTTGACAAACTTAAGAGTTGTTTCAAACATTTGCCTTAAAAAGCCTGGTCTCGACTTACAGTGAACTGGTGATTAGCTTCTTATAATCTAAATATATGATGTTATATTCTCATCTCAACAAGTCGTTGTAGTATAGTGGTAAGTATTCCCGCCTGTCACGCGGGTGACCCGGGTTCGATCCCCGGCAACGGCGTAATGTTTTGCTTTTCCAAACATATTTTTTTTTCTTTCACACCTTTCAAACTCTCACTAGTCTCTTGCTTCTTCCCCTTCCTCTCAGTTCCTTGCCTGTAAAAACACGTTACCCATAAAAACACACACGCAAACCCTTGATTCCAAATTTCAAGCTTGAAAGCCACTCCACTACTATCACCGTACAAAGCAAAAAAACACACTCCCATTAAATCACAAAAAAATAAATGTTTTTTTCCGTTTTCTTTTCCACCACCTACACCGCCACCAAAACCAAGAAACCGGAAATGTCCGCTGCGTCACGGTGCCTTCCAATATCCACCACTCGAATCCACATAATGGCCTTAGACGGAATCGTCAACGTCAACTCACTCTTCTCTTTCGCGCTCTTCGTCGGCCTCACGTTTTACCCCACCACCGATCCCGCCGCCATGCTCATTGGCTCCGACACGGCCTGCGCCGCTGGGGTCTCCTCCGCAGAGGGCCTCATCGCCTTCCACGTGTACTCCTTCAGCTCCTTCCTCTTCTCCAGCCTCGTTGCCTTGGCCCTCAAGCAAGCCATCAAGATCAGCAGAGACATTGTGGTTCAAAATGGCGGTGACTCCGGTTCACACGTGGGTCATGTGAACCGGGTAGCTTTGCGGGTCGGGACGCTGGTTTCGGCTTTCGGGTCTGTTTTGGGATGTGGGTTTTTGATGATGGCGCTGGTGGACTTGGTTCAGATCAAATTGGGGAGATTGGGTTGTGGGAGTCTCTACACTTTGGCTGCAATTGGTCCTCTGGTGACTTTGGTTCCTCTAGCTCTTGTTATCTATGTTTTTCTTGTGCTACATGCTTTTACTAGATAGAAACGTATGATTAATCAAACGAAATGTTAAATTTGTGCATCTTCTTTGCATCTTTAATATAAATTATATTTACATAAATTCAGTATATAGGATGTCGTCTTGTCTGAATAAATTTCACTTGCCCTTAATAGAGATGGTTAATGGATGCTCATGGATACTCTATATATCACCATCATTACCATTACAAGTACAAACATCACCACTCATCACCACAGACAGCACATATCCACACTCAAATGGATCTCCATTTAATTAAATTGGTACCCATTAACCATCTTGATCGATGATGTTAAGCTTTGATAAATTGATAGGTTTGATTATTTATGGTGTAGAATCTTCCTTTAGAGCTTCGATTTTAGGCTCTAAGTACTAAGTTGTGAGCAAATTCGAGATTAGAATACTGAAGTTTAAGTCTAATTTAAATGGTCATTTTAGGGTTGATTATTTAGGTTTTGATTGTTTAGATGCTTGATCATTATCTAGGTTTTAATTGAGTTGATTTGATGCAAGTTAGAGTAGATGTCATGCTTAAGAACTCCTATTTGTAAATGTAAGGTTTGTCTGATTTTTCAACGATTTCCATAGCATTTAATGAGTTTTTACTTGTTTAAATACATCTATAGGCATAGAGAGAACGTGCAAATAGATTGCCATGCTCATTGAATAATTTAGAGAAAATCAATCATCAGTCTTGGAGAATTACTTATTCATAACATTAAGGAGATTAAGTAGAATTGTTTAGGTCCTGTTTTCTTATGTTGTCAATCTTATATTCCGTGCGTTTTATTTCACGTTGTATTTAATTTCATTTTAATTCAAAATCTCATATCTTTACAGTAGAAGTCTCAATTATAATTTGTTTCAATTTAGTCATAAAGATTCTTAAAATAATTTGATTTCTATAGGACAATATTCGTGCTCATTTGCTATACTATCATTTGATTCGTATACTTATAAGTACTAAAATTTGAGATTTAATGAGGTTAATTTTGGTTATTTAATTTTTACAACATTTTGTGTGAAAATAAAGTTTTCTCAACGTGTCTGTACGTTCACGTTGTCCAAAATTTAACTGTTAATTTGGAAGTACAAAGTACATACGAGTTGTGTTTAAATGAATTTACTTCTGACTGAAATTTTTGTAAGTAGGCTAATATTAATTTATGAAATCAAAGGATGTTGCTTGTTTTACAAGGTTCGTTAATTCTTCATAAACAATCTATCGAGAATTCGAGATCGCCAATTTTTCTCTTGAACTTGTTCTTTGTAGATCCCCCATGTGCAAGTACCATTTGAATCAGAAACCAAGTCTGATTTCATCACTTTCCAAATTTTGGTATAGTTGTTTTTCTTGCATACTTCTTCCATGGAAAAGGATTCAGTTACTCTGCTCAATTTTCTCCGTCTTTGCCGCGTCGTTTCGGTGTTTTGTGTCTGCTCATTCATCTCATTCATTTACTGGTACAATTACCATATATAGTCCATGCTACCAAATCAACAACCTACTTGCATTCCCTTCAGCATAGGGATGGGCAAAATACCCATGGGTATGGGTAACCGCGGTTACCCACCCATTTAAAGTTGATGGTTATGGTTATGGGTAACCGTTTAAACAAATAAACGGTTATGGGTATAACCGTTTATCCATGAAATTTAAATGGACGGTTATGGGTATTATCCGCGGTTATAACGGGTATCCATCGGTTATGGTTAATATTCATGGTTATAACGGGTATCCATTTACCTATTTAATTTAATATATGTAAAATTAAAAAATAAAATAAAAACCCTCAGAGTTACAATGATATAGCAGTCGTTGGATTGATTTGGAGCCTCTGGTTTGGTCCAAGTTTCCACCTTTAGTTGCATGTTCTATTACTTTTGAATAGAACCCATCATTTATGATTATTAATTAATTATCCCTTAATTGTTGATTTGGTTTTGTTTCTTGTAATCGTTGATTTCATTTTGTTGCGTTTGATTGGAGCTTTCATCATTTGGGACACGAAAAATTCAACATAAAAATTCATCATTTGCGTTTGATTAACTATCGTTAAAAAAATAATGTAGACGTGAGAAAAAAAAGGGTAAATGGGTAAAAAAAAGGATAAACGGGCGAAAAATATGGGTAAACAGGTAAATGGTTATGGTTATGGTTAAATGGATAAATGGTTCTGGGTAAATGGGTACACGGTTATGGGTATGAATAACCGTTTATAAACGGTTATGGTTATGGGTATAACCATTTATGTAATTACCCAACGGGTAAACGGTTATGCGGGTATGAACATAAACGGTTATGGGTAAAATAACCGCGGTTACCCGCCCGCATAACCATTGCCCATCCCTACTTCAGCATGGAACCAGCTTGCTTTTTCCTCAATGCCGCCTTCGAGGCTTCGTAAAATTGCTCTGTTTGTCAGGCCTCATAGATCTCAAGCTACCCGACACTCAATTTGTACTTTCACCTTTCGAAACCAACTGCTGCTCGCTATCTGGACCAAGCTCTGATTTGGAAGATGTTTCAATCTCAAAACCCTACGGTAAGGCCTTTCAATGTGATCCACACCGAAAGCATTGGCCTCTTGCATACTTGAGCGCGTAACCAGATGAAACTTGGTGTTTCTTGCATGGGATTGCATACGAAACCCCATTCATTCCGACATCATACAAGAACTTCTACGGAGCCATGAAAAACCACAAGGGTATGTGTGGAGCCAAAAATATTCACTAGGCGATACATGGACTTTTGGACAAAAGAGGACAAAAATACCCTCGAGGTATACCGGGTTTCCTACACGCGAGCAGTGGAGAATCATCCATCAACCAAGTCAGGAGTATCCAAAATGGGTAACAATTCAAAACCTATTTCATTCCATATATGTTTTTACCCCATTTTTTCCTTATTCAATTAACCATTTATTTCAAACATTCCATAACATCCTCAATCAATTAAATTATCAATTAAAAGCCAAAAATCACCCTAAAAGCCGTTGGTCCTTCTCCAAAATGGGGGCCGGCCATTCCCTTTGATTTCCTACCACAATTTGCCTTTTTTTACATTGGTTAGCTAATCTTTTCAACCATTATTTGATTGATTAGCTGATCATGCCATGAAAGTCATAAAAACATTCCCTTTATATTGATAATTAACCAATTAATATATTATTCTTAATTAATATATTAATTGCTAAATTAAGCCACCTCCTATCCCTATATATATGCTCCCATTTCCACCAAAAACTCATTCCAATTCTCTTACAAAAAAATCACAAATACTCTAAACACTATTTCTCTCTAAAATTCTAACTTTGGTATCGGAGGTTCTTCGGCCAAAGCCCCCCCATTCATCGTGGGCGCGTGAGGCTTTTGGCCTTAACCTAAGGTGCTAGTTGTTTTGTAGGTGCAAAATCGTCCAAGATCGAGGAGGAGAAAATTTGCATCCACAAATTGGTGCTTTCATTGAGAGTTGAAATCCATACTCGTAGAAGACTCTCGCACAAAAAGGTTTTTTCTTTATTTTCTAGTCCATTTGAATATTTTTCATACGTTCTTATTATTAGAATTTTTTACTTGCAAAGGTTCTTTGATAAAACGTATAAGCAAAATATAATGGCTAGAAATTTAGAAAATTCCACAAGTGAAAATTCTAATGTTCAAGAAATGGGATTGCGGAGATCCGTGAGGCTAAATGCGACAATAAGGGGAGCGGCATCATCACGAGCTTCCACCATGGGAACCACCGTGGTGGCTACCGAGGTAGCCACCCGCGGCGAGGTCCATGGTGCCTTCACCACGGCCACCATGGGAACCACCGCGGTGGCTACTTCGGTAGCCACTCGTGGCGAGGTCCATGAAGCCTTCACCACGGCCCGGAGATCCGTGAGGCAAAATGCGACAATAAGGGGAGCGGCATCATCACCACAAGCTTCTACCATGGGAACCACCGTGGTGGCTACCTCGGTAGCCACCCGCGGCGAGGTCCATGGTGCCTTCACCACGGCCACCATGGGAACCACCGCGGTGGCTACTTCGGTAGCCACTCGTGGCGAGGTCCATGGAGCCTTCACCACGGCCCGAGCCGTGCCATCCAAGGCTCACGGTACCAAGACCACGATCCAAGCCGTGTCATCCAAGTTTACGTGGACCCAAGCCCAAGCCTCGCATTCACATGCACCGCGCATTTAGCAGCCTGCTCCAGTGATCCAGCATGCTCCCGTCAAGCAACCCACTCTCACGGCTCAACCTGCTCCTGCCGAGCAGCCTGCTCTCGTGACCCAGCCTGCTCTCGACGAGCAACCCACTCTCGTGGTCCAGCCTGCTTCCAATGAGCAACCCACTCCCGTGGCCCAGCCTGCTTTCGTCGAGCAGCCCACTTCGGTGGCCCAGCCTGCTCCTGCCAAGCAGCCCACTCCCGTGGCCCAGCCTGCTCCTACCAAGCAGCCTGCTCTCGTGACCCAGCCTGCTCCCGACGAGCAACCCACTCCCGTGGTCCAGCCTGCTTCCGTCGAGCAACCCACTTCTGTGGCCCAGCCTACTCCTGCCAAGCAGCCTGCTCTCGTGACCCAGCCTGCTCCCGACGAGCAACTCACTCCCGTGGTTCAGCCTGCTTCCGTCGAGCAGCCCACTCTCACGGCCCAACCTGCTCCTACCGAGCAGCCTGCTCTCGTGACCCAGCCTGCTCCCGACGAGCAGCCCACTCTCACGGCCCATCATGCTCCAGTGGCTTTCCAAGCAGCCCAAGTCGACCCAAGACTATCTCAACCATCCGGACCTACCATCGAGCCGGGGGCATTCTCACCACATGTTTTCGTAGATTTGACATTTCCCAACTCAAATCTCGCGCCCGGAGTCTACCACCTTTCCACTGCCCAATGAGGCGTATTCCTTCCAAGCTATTCCAATCCAAATGGCGAACAACACTTGTCTCGACAAGTCATAGAGTTGACGAGCGCCCTTGCACAACAGAAAACCTTGGTGAATCAACTTTTGCAACGTATCGGGATCCAACGTGCCCCGGACGAAGTATCCCAAAGTAGGACAAGGGCAGACGAACATTTCCAGCAGCGTCCCGATAAGCAGCCA